ATTTTAACTTTTGCTAAGTAGAATTGACAACGACTTTTCTTATATCCTTCACATATTTCAGCATTCAATTAAACGTCATTTGAATGCCGTTTTCAGTTATAAGTGGATTTTTTTTCATCACTTTCATTTGTTTCTGAGAACTTTGCTGATAAATTGTCACATACGAATTAATGTCATTCACAATAACGGAACGGAAATGTAAAATTTAAATGAGATTTACATTTTGTTAGAACGAAACAACAGCGACATCAGCATTGTTCAGCTGTGTTGTTTTGGTTTTACATGAGAAACCCCCTTTCCTCTTGTACTAAAACATAAATTTGCATGCAAAATACACATTAACAGAAACACATGTTTGTTTGTCCACCAATAGGTACTCATTCGTACACACATATACTTGCGAATGCTAGCAGCTAATACGGAATTTATGCGAATGTGTGTGTTAATATGTGTCAGCTTTTGGTTGTGAAACCTCATTGTTTATTCAAATAAATTCTGTGCATTATATGAAAATGTGAAAATGATTTGTAAAAAATTTCCATCACATAGGGTTCTCGTTTTATGAAAAACAAATTCCTTGAATTGTGTGAAAAATTGTCCAAATGTACAGACAATTTATTACATATGATACCGAGTAATGTAGATTCGATTGTTTTGTATTTCCCAATTGCATGTTGAAGTGGTTTTACTGTATGTTAATAAGATAAAACTGTAATACATTTTTTATTTGCTTTAGCAAACAAATTTTTCACTGTTAATTTAACATTCATGTTTAAAATAAATAAAATCGGTCAGAATCGAGAAATGGTAGTATAGTTTTTACACTTATGATAATTTTGTTACCAATTCTTCACATTTTTAGTTATTTTACTCCATATTTACACTTCGATTGAATTTTTAGATAATATATATAATTTAGAAAAAAAAGTATCTAGTTTATATATTTAAAGAAGTCAAATATATGTACATAAAACTAAATAAAGGTTTTTTGTCAAAAGTTATGTATATAGCCTTTTTTATATCAAAACAAAATTAGATATTACAGATTTTATAAATAACGCTAATAGGACGTTGAACCTAGATGAAAATATCATAATTTTTCAAAATGGGTGTCTAAATTATTTCGAAAATAATATATTACAGCTCTTATCTTGTTGTTCAGTCAGCAAAATTTCCTTAATTGCGTTAAAATGAAATTAAGTTAATTTCGTTATAATGAATTAAGTTAATTTCGTTAACATAAAATCAAGTTAATTTAGTTAAAATGAAATTAAGTTAATTTCGTTAAAATGAAACTAAGTTAATTTCGTTAAACTGAAATTAAATTAATCTCGTTAAAATGAAATTAAGTTAATTTCGTTAAAATGAAATTAAGTTGAGTTATGTATAGTTAGAGTTAGAAAAAATATATAATTAAAAGTTATTATGTTTAAGTAAAAGTTAAAGGAATTAAAAGAGGAATATACAAATATTCATGAATTTAAGACTGGCTAGACCTCATGCTTATATGACAAATTTCTCTAGACTGAAAGCCATTCTGCTTTCCTAAAGATCACCCTGATTAATTTAAATTATACGCTGTAATATCTGGTAAAAAAGCTCTGGCTACTTATTAAGAGACCCGTTAAAATAATTTACAAATCATTATATATTTCATTATAGTATGTTTATTTAAAATAATTTGTAATGTAATGTTATTAATCTTTAAGATTCTAAAACTTATGGTTAGGCTTTAATTTAAAACGATTCAATAAAGACATATTGTTAAATAAAACAAAAATTCATTATGTATTGTGGAATTAATACAGTAATTATTAGAATTTTTTGTAGTTATGTGATTTTGTTCTATGAGATTTTATGAACGAGTTTACTTTGAAAACTAATAGTTTGATATGGAAACAAATTAATTTTATTTTTATTCTAATTCAGATTAAAAATTTTGTCATTAAATTTAATTAATATAAGTAAAAATACTTGCAAACATAATTGCAATTACAAAGTGACAATTTTTTAGGACGTGTAATTGTTGAAACAATACGTGCTTTAATTATCCTTACTTTATCCAAAATGAATTATAATTAAAGTTCACAGTTCAAAGTCGTTTAAAAATATTGTAGCACTGGACGAATTCGGTGACATTTAAGTGTTCACTCTAACAAAATTCGGATAACGAACTTACTTTATTTGTTCTTTATAATGAGTGTATTGTGCTTCCATAAATTGTTTTACGTTGTAGAGATAAAATATTGCTAAAAATAAATAATCAAGTAAAAATTGTTAAACCCCGTGAATAATACAGATTTGATATGTAAAATATATCATTTTTAAATAATTTAAAATTGCAACTAAAATTAATTTTTACTGATTACTAAGGAGAAGATCACTATCAAGACCATCACGCTAGGCATTGAATAAAATAAAGTATTCTTAAATTGCTGACAATGGTGTCAACATTGAGTTTGAGTTCAACTTAAGACAGAACTAAGCTTAAGTTTCTGGGAGCCCCCTTCTTCAACACAGCAAAATCTCTAGCAATAGCATTGGCCAGATTCAGGCTTTTATAAATGCCTCTGGCTAGTTCTAGCTTCACCTTCTCTCTACTATCCACTATTACGAGGATTTGTGGATTTAAAACGACTTTCTTAGCTCATTGAGAAAGATTCGTTCCTCCCTTTACCACAACTAACTAACTTGAGTCCAACACTTATTGATTTAATTTTTTCTTATAAATAATATTATAATTAAAATATAAGATATCATTTCTAGTACAACTTTCTGAAACATAACACATATATTAATAATTTTAATAATAAATTTTGCTTTTATTAAAATTACTAAAATTATATTTTTATCAAATATGTTAGTATAATAGTACATAATAATTATTGTTTAATATATAGTTATAAATTATATTGGCTACTTGTGGAAAACACGATTAGCCATCACTTCTAATTTGACAGCTACGAGTTCTAAGCCTGGCACTTGCAGTCCAAACAAATTATATACGGACTATAAACTAATTAAGAAATTTTCCAAAGACGACTGATGATGAGTAACTGGCAATATTCGAACAAGCATCATATGGTCAGCTAAGTTTCAAGAAATTAAAATAAAATTTTTGCTCTTGTCTTTTCTTTGCTATTCGAATCCATCTAACTTTTGTTTCGTTATAAAGACACGTCACTCTCGGCAAGAAAAAATTAAAATTATAAGTTTTTATATTTACCCATATTTACTTCAATTATACCTATAATACTATGTTATTTCTACATTTCCAAATCATAAAGTAAATTTAGTTCGAGATAACTTTTGTCACATTCTGTCAACACAACATTTTTGTGATGATATGTCGGTTGATTTAAAATCATACAAAATTTCACAATATTGCATAAGGCAGTTGTAACGTCTAGTCTTCATATAACTTTGACGCTTTCAATGTTCACATTTATGTCAAATTTACAGTCAACCAAGCACTTTGCCGCCATAATAGATACAGGATGGCATTTATTTGATTGTGACACTGCAAGTTTATGGCACTGAGAAAAAATTGCCAACAAGTTGAAATATTTAAAAACATAAAACTTTTGCAGTTTTATAGAAGTTCTTAAAAAAATTTTTTGGAAATATTTTGCAAAAATAAGAACTACGTTAGTAATATTTATAAAAGCTATTGCAAAAGTTTTTATATTTCAAAACATAAGATACAACATATATATTTTACGTTAACAGTTGAGATACAATCTCATTTAAGAATTAAAGTTATTTTATTCAATTTCAAATACAATTTTTAAAAAAATTTTATTTCCCAATTAAGTTAAATAATTTGCTGTTAATTATATTAAACGCATTTAAAACCTGTAATAACACTAATAAAAATTGCTTATGACCATATATTTTATCATATTAAAATAACAGAAACATAATAGAAAATAACAGAAAATAGGAACAGGACTTATTTATAGAAATTAATTTTTGCCCAAGTGAATTTTTTGAGCTGACCATCTGAGCTGTTCTTGTTTTTGCCTACTGTTCATAATCAGTGGTCTTTGGAAGTATTTTTTGATTATGATTTGTATAGAGTAGTGCTTCAAAGTTTTTATGTACCGAATTGCTCGAGCAGTTTAAATACAAACGAATCCGGTCATTTGGACCGAAAACTTCAAATGTTTCCAGATACCCGAGCTACTCGTAGATATTCAAGTGATTTTTTATACATATACGTATAAGAGCAAATACTCGCTATGTTTAACTGGATTTTGTTTTTTCTTCTTTGGCTTTCTTCACGATCTGCCTCGATCTGTCCCGATCTTCTGCTACTCTCTTCCAGTTCAGTACTCCTATCTTCTTGCATCACCATACACGTTCCCATCCTATTTTATTCTTGGCCTACCTCTGTGCCTAGTTGTCATCGGTTTTGCGAATACTGGAGTTTGAAATTTACAATAGTTTAAATAATATTTTCACTCTGTATCTTTCTTCTATTTACATTAAGTAAAGTACACAATGTCAATTATCTCTACAACTCACAGTAAACTTTGTGAACTTAAGTCACTTCCACAGACCAACTAAATTTTTAATATCAACCTTTCACTAGTTACTTTCATGCCATTTTAATCATGATCACATTCTTTTTTTGTTTTATGAATAAAACATATTTTCATATAGCATTTTTGCTTTTTATTATCACTGAAATTTATTGATACATATCTGTTTTTTTAGTTGGTACAGCTGCTTTACGAATTTAGTTTTTTTGTCGTACATGTCTTACGTCGTTCAAAGCACTATTTTTATTTCTAGGTTAGTTTCTCACTATTAGATTAGTAAGATCAGTAAAACAAAAAAAAAATATATATATACATATTTCTCAACTAAAGAGAAAATTTTATTTTATTGATATATTATAAACAAGTATTTCACAGACTTATATTTTATAATAAAATATATTTAACAATTGTTTTATAAATAAAATGAATAAAACAAAATGAAATAAAGCTATACAAATGGAAACAAATTCAACACAAGAAAGTGCTCCGTTTTTAACTTTGTTTAGTATTTTGCCTGTCTTGTTCTTGACGCTTGCCCAGTAATTTGCTCTTTGTATCATCTAACGTATTATATTTCTTTTTAGACTTACTTTTGAAAAATTTTCGCATAAACCCCAATTTCCGAAATGGTACACAGAACAAATTAAAAGTCCTTATAGCACATATTTGAAGGAATCTAAATATTTCGTAACGATAATTTATACTTGCGCGACATATCGTAAGAAATGACATTAAGATAATGGCAAAAAATAGAATATCGTCAATTAAGTGAATGCTTCCTATAAAACTTTGCAAATATGTATACATAACATTTGCTTTGATCAACAAAGGGTTGTCATTGACACATAGAACGCCACTCAACTTTTTAACTAAAAAAATAAATAAATAAAATAAAATGTTATTTAATAATGTATTTAATATTAACATACAGTCTACATTAAATAACTCAATTGTAGAGTTCGGTTCAATGCCTAAACACATGAATACATCCTGCCAGTGATAACTTTTGGCGTTCTCTGTTAACTTTGCAAAGCAACTGTTACGAAAATAATTTTCCATGTTTCCAAATGTTCTAGAAAAACAAATTTTTAATTATAATTATGATTATTATAAATAATTTTATTTTATTACTGAAAAGAAGTTATCATACATATTTTATACACAAAAGCTTTAAAAATTTGGAGAATATCGGTAATTCAGTCTTTGGTAAAATAATAAACGTCGAAATACACTTTTTAATTGTATTATCACAATTTCAGTATCTACAAAATAGAATAATAGCTTATAGAAAAAATTATATTATTCCAATATGTCTTATATGTGTAAATTGAATAGTCAAGGATCAACTGATAGGTAATATATAATTAAAAAATAAAAAATACTACAGATTGTGATTTGAAACCAATGCTCGTTTTGTGTTAGTAGACTCTATGTTGTATTATTAACCTGAACTCAATCGATAATAAATTGAAATAAACTTAAATGCTCTTAAGTAAGAATCTTTCTTAATATATAGACCAGGGGCTGTCTAAACCAGATAAGATCGCGAACCAAAACAAATCATTAAATAGGTTGGAGAGCCGCAGAAATAAATACAAACGTATATAATTTTTGCGGAGAAAAATAAAAACACGGCAATAATGTTAAATTTAGTTTTATTAACTCCTCATTTATTTATCTATAACAATTTTATCTATATCACCATACAAAAAATGTAATGAGCGCACTAGATACAAGTTTTTTGAACCAGAGTTTTAGAAAGAAATATATACTAAAGTATTTGTTAATTAAGTAAAGAAACATAAATTCTAAAAAATTATTTAATAAATAATTACTTAATATATTTCAATTCATTTAGTTGGGGTAGCATAAAAATAAAATAATGTTGTGACGCACAAATGTTAGCCACGGGCCGTATAGGTTCATAGGCCGTGCTTTGGACAGCCCTGATATAGACAATTAAGATAACTGAATATATTTTAACTGACCATAAGAAATATTTATTTATTTATATATAAAATATATATCCATATATATGAAATATATAAAACATACAACAAAATCATAATTTTTATTCAATTAAGCTGAACTATAAATATGTTACAAATAAGAAATGCAGGTCTATCAATAAATCATTTATATGTGTCCATCGAAAATTCAATTTCAATCCCATAAACCCTTTATATACAAACAATTTATCTTTAACATAACAGAAAGCCTTTGCAGTAGATTACCGAAAATGGTGAAATGTTTTTCAAAGATTCGTAAATCACCATAACCTTCCCCCCTGTCATCTAGCAAAATCAACAAAATGTACCAAACCTGTCGGTGGCTATAAAAAGAGCATATGTCAGCAACATTTTTCGAGTGTCTGTTGATGAGTTCACACACCTGCTACCACAACATACGAGCTCCAGATATCTAAATTTTAGAAACAAACAGAAAAGTTTAGAAAGAAAACACGTCCCTTACACGTTTGGCTCATTTATTTTTTAATCCGATTATGGTGCTATATTGAAAAGTTGAAAAATTGTTGTTACTGCTAAAGACTTTTCACTTATGTGTTGGAAGCTAAGCTTCTTAAAATTTAAATACGCTTAAATTAAGTGATAAGCTATAAAGTTAAATTAATAATAAGTAATAAAGCAAATGAATTTTAAGATAAATACTTATGTACAGAAATTAGTTTCAATATTAGAGAACACAGATTTCTTAAATTAATAATAAGAAATAAAGCGAATGAATCTGGAGAAAAATGCATGTAGACTCGGATAAATGTTTTCTAAATATAACCAACACAAAGCATAAAAACCTTATACTGGAGTATTTCCAGAAACAGAAAATAAAAATCAATAATAAAAAAAATTAAGGCTCTGTTTATTACGCGTAAGTGGAGACAGAACCCGTCGAGAGTGAGAGTAGGAGATATGGTAATAAACTGGGTGGACAAACGATTCAAATGGCTTGAACATATTCAACTGAAAAGAATAAGCTGTGCCAAAATTCTTTATTAGCTCCAACCGCCATTCAAAAATAAAAATCTCATTGCTAAGAACAGGAAGCTCTTCTATATGGATGTGTAGCGTTCAGCAAGACCTCAAATCCTACTATTCACCAGCTAAAAATTGCACAAAGCCAGGCTCTAAGAGGACTTTTCAAGGTACCATGGTACATTGGGATGAACGACATTCTCAAGGACCTCAAGATTGATTCGATCAAAAAATACATAAAGGATTGAGCCCTGAAATTATTTACGAAAATTAATTGATAGGCATACCAACACCGCGTTATCGAATTTCAGAATGGTTACAGGCTCCTGGGGAGCCTGATGAAGTGATAAACAATAATCTAGTCATGGCGTAGAGAGGGGTTATGAAGAAACCACGTAGGTAATAGAGAGTAAAAGTGCTTAAGTGCACTGACTCAACTAGCCTCAACATAATAATAATAATAATGTTTTTAATTATTAAAAAACAAATTTTTTTAAATTAATTTAAATAATTATGTTAAAATATTGCAAATTTGTTGGAAAGTTAAAAATATTTTTAATCATTTTCACATAACTTTAAAAAGAACTTTAGATAAATTTGTTTGTGAGAATCGATACAATAAGAAACTTACCACAATTGAGCTTAGCACAGATGATGTTATTTATAAAATTTGCAGGAACGAAGAGGAATATTATCACAAAATCACTAATAAGAAATTTAACGATGATTTTTACAAATCAAAAGTTAAATTTTTTTACCTCTGAGACGTAGTATTTGCTTTTAAATCAAAGTTAACTTCAGATTTGAAACAGTACGACCTGAAATAAAAAATTTTATTTTAATGTATTTATTTTTTATTAAATTAAAATTTTGTGTATATTTTTTTATAACATTTAATACTGTGATATATTTTTTATTTTAAATAGTGTAAGATTTCTATGTCATTTACTACATATCAGTAAAAAAAAAATACTAAAGTACTATATAACTGTAATCAAACATTTAATACAGAGTGAAAAGATAAACGAATAATAAACTTTAATAATTAATGTATTCAGTGTAGGTGTAGGTTAAATTATATCAGTGGTTTCCAACCAATTTTTGACTAAGGACCACTATGATATTTTTATATTTAGTAGGGATCACAAAATTTAAGAATTATGAACTGTATTATTATTTTAAGATGCTTTATGCATCTCTGGTATAATGTATAATAAATTTTATAAGTACATAGGTACATTGTAGAGGCTATAAAACAGACATAAAATTACTTGGAAATTTTTGTATTTATTTTCTAATAAGTGAGGTATCAGTGGCCAAACTACAAGCTATGTATCCGTATCTTTTAAACCTAATTCACAGACCATTTTTAACTATCTTGTGGACCACCTGAGGTTGGAAACTTCAGAGCTAAATAAACAATATTTTCAATAACTTTGTTCTATATTTTTAGGTATTTCATTATTTTTATACGTCATCTTAATTTCTTATTTAACAATAAGTTCACTATTATTAAAAGTCTAAATTTTAATGTGATTGTCAAAAAAAAGTCACCACTGAAGTTTTGTTTTGTTTTTTTTTATCAACTTACGCCTACTGGTGCATTGTGCTACCGTATTATTAAAAACCTACACCACTGAAGTTAATCGTAAAAAACTTTACAGGAAACCAACTAGGAATATAAGTCCTTGTTAACTATTAAGTGATATGTAGTCATTGTGTACTCTCCTTCATTTATTCTACATAATGTCACAAATTAGTATATTAGTATGCACATCCCTCTATAGGAATGTTACATTCCAGATTTTTATGATGATTCTCTTTTTCTTTCCAAGTAGCGCTACGCACAGTTTTGTTAATACAGAATCGGTAATGAGAACCTTCATTGTCAAAATCGTTGAAAATTATATATGAAGATTTACTAAACAGTTAAGTTAGTTTATAGATTTTTATATTGGAATGTTTCAATGTTGCTAGGTGTGGACAACCAACTGCTCAATTGGTTTTTTTTTTTTTACTTTTTACAAGAAACTTTTACATATCTGGTTGAATGGGATACTTGACTTTTTAATATAGCTCTTCGGTGAGCAGTGGTTTATCAACATCGCCACAAATTTTGTCTTTCTTAGATCTTGACTTTGCTAAGTAAGATTTCTGTTCCCAACAAATTGTAGCTTGACAATGTTAATTCCAATTTTTTTCAGTTTGTTATAGTTTTCTATTTATGTTCTGGTTATCTTAAAAAATAATTATGAGAACCTTTTAATCAGATTTAGTATTTGTTCCTCTGCTAATGATGCTACTAGATAGGAATGATTGATTGGACAGCGCAAGAATAGCAACTCTACTGTTGGAAAAAATTACAATTTGTGTAAGGATGCTTCTGATATCAGTCGACCTACTTCTATGATAGTAAAGATCGCGGTTTTGAAGATACTAAATGAACTCATAATGTGTAAAGATCTTCTTATATCTTTCTGTATTTAATATATTTGTGATAGTACAAAATAAGTACATATGTTTGCAACGCCATCAACTAATTTTTTACCCAAAACTTATTTACCAAAGAAGCTCTGTTAATATGGGTATAAGTGAAATTTTTAAATAAATTGTCATATAAATAAAATGAAAAATTTGGTAGGATAATAGTTCGATTCCTGGTACTTGTAGTCTCAAAAAATTATTCACAAATATTAAATACAAGAATTATTTTCAAGACAACGTTTAAATAAATTTTTGTTGTTGTAGTTCACTACTGTTCGAAGCAGCTCTTTTAAAATGTAAAATGAAAAATAAATAAATATAAAATAAAAGGAGAAAATAAATTAAAGTTAAATAATTATAATATGATATATGATGAAATCCGAATAATATATACATTATATTATATAATAATTTTCGGTATTTTAGCGCAACGTATACAATATATTATATTAATTTCAATAAATAAATGAACAGAGTTATATACACAAGTTAAAATACATTAAACACACAATACTAAAATAATTATGGTAGAATACACAAGTGTGATTTGTATCTAACTAACATTTTGAAAGTAAATTACTGTGTATCTCTTGTATACCAGTTTCGGATCAATATATTGTCTAGGGCATAATAAACTTTAACAAAAATCTACCTTTTATTTAGTAACAGTACCAATAATATATGGAGAAATTATTTCAATCCAAACTTATTCTTTACCTTGGTTCTTATAAATGGTTGATACCTGAGTTATAAGTCACTGCAATGAATAAGAAGTTGAAATAATAGTTTATATTTATTTAAGTTGTAATTTTAAAAATAATGAGTATTGTTTTACTTACCGTTTCAGGTGTATTGGAATGTTGAAAATCAGATCAAATAAAAAGTTAAGAAGAGGAAACTAAAATTAGAAATAAGAATAATTAAATTCCTTATAGCAATAAACGTAATGTTAAATACCAAATATAAATTTAAATTACAACATTAAAATCTTAAATATTGTATAAAACTTAAAAACTCCTGAATGTTTGATTTAACTGATATAAATATTTTTAAGTATAAAATATTTTTAATTTCATTAACCATAAAAAAAATATAACATTTAAACTAATTTGTACTTGGTCTTCATTAAGTTGATTGCTTAAATATATACGAATTTAAAATTACCTTTAAGCGTTAACTAATCAGCAAAATATGTGTGGAATTCTAAACAAACATTCCTTTAACGTTTCAATTTAATTCATCTACACATCTAATTTTGAAATCCTCAATAGCCAAAACCCGAACTAATCAAATATTGTATTTTTATAGAAACATTGAAAAAGCATAGCAACTATTGACACAAATCCAGGACGAATGAGGTGTTTTAATGAATACCAAAACTATTTCGTTTTTACTTTGAAGTTTATAATTTAGCTGAAAACAATACGTGGTGTAAGATTTTAAATCCAAAAAGTATAGAAACAACAAAACTAGTATTTAGCAATTTAGTATCGAATTTTCCAAATTAAATTAAAATTTCATTTATTTAAAATTGTTCAGTTTTTGAACTTTTTAGAAACATTAATAGTCAAGTTGCAGAAATAATTAAAACTACCTGTGAGCGAAAGTAATTTTACAAAAAAAGATTCATATAATATTTTTCAACTAGATTGCGGGTGGTTGTATGTCATTTAAAAGGTCATTTAAAGTGATTTAAGAATTATAGCTAAGATAGATATCGTGAGTATATCACATCTAATCATTAAAGTGTAAGGATGTTTAGTTCTCTCTAGTTATATCTGTCTAACTATAATGACTTGAGAACCGTATCTGAAATTGTGAGGATGTCTGACTCTTGCGATAGGCTACCAGTAAATCAGTCATTTGTGTGCTTCTTCAACGCAATGAATGTATTTATTTTAAAAAACCCAAGCGAAAAAAATTTCACCAAGATTGAATCACTTGGTAACAAGACCATGTGTTACAGCTCGAATTATAGATGCAAAACGTTACTCAGATGTAATATCTGGGTTTACAGCTCTTTAACAAGCTAAACTAGAAACATCATATCGAGCATATAACTAAATGTCATGAAATAAATTACTTAAATGGGCACTATTTTCAACTTAACTTTCATTACATCCAATCTGTAGGTAGATGAGTTTGTTTATTACATGTTGTCAAATATAAGAAACGTCTATTTAACGACATCAATGTGAAAAATATTGAAGTTCTGGATCTTACATAGCAATTGAGAAATGATTTCAGAATAGATATTCATCAACCATTGACTTATCATATCTGCCCGAAATTCTACCACCTACTTAGTATAGCTACTTCTAGCTATACTTCCAAAATGCACGAATCTCCGTTATTATATCGCTGCAGTGGTTGAAGAACCACAAAGTTTCTTGCAATTACTTGCAATCTTGCTATACCTAAATCCATGTATATATGCTTGCAACTTAACAAAAAAAGGAAAAAAACAACTCTTTTGATATGTGGATATGTATGCTACAAAAAGTGCTGTTTTATTTTGATGTTGCAATTCTGCAACAGAGGCGTTCTGGTACTCATGCAATTTGGGTATACCCTTTTGTGCACCTTGCAAAGACTTTACAAGACAGAGTGAATATCCGTTATATGTTAGAAATTTTCTCGCAAACTAAATACTATGAAAATCTTAATTCTAAAAACAGGAAGCTGTTATATAACCAAATAATTCGACTGTCACTTCTATATGGATGTGTAGTGTTCAGCAAGGTCTCAAACAGTAATATTCGCCAGCTAGAAATTACACAAAAGAAGGCTCTGAGAAGACTTTTCAAAGTACCATGGTGAATGAATGACATCCTCAGGGACATCAAGATTAATCCATACAAAAAATACATAAAGGATAGAGCCTTGAGATTATTTACGAAAACTGACAGGCGTTATCGAATCTCAGAATGGTTACAGGCTCCTCGCGGAAGTATGCAGATCTGAAGTCAATTATTACTTAGTTTGATGAAGTGATAAACAATAATCCAGTCAAGGCGTGGAGAGCAATTATGAAGAAACCTTGCAGTTAATAGAGAGTAAAGTGCACTGACTCAACTAGCCTTAACATTATAACAGATTTGTAGTTTACCTATTATTATGTATAGATATACAAAAGATATATATAAAAGATATTTTTATATTTATAAACACAATATAACTGTTACAACTTCCATTTAGTTTTTTTTACGTTTCTAATAACATCAATCATATTTGTAGTGTTTTTAGTTTTTTACATTTTAGCAATAATATAGAAAACAAAAAAAAAAAAAAATAGTTTGAGCTTCGACTTTGTTTAATTGAAAAAAAACTTTTGCCATGTAATTTGTTCTTTTGATGAAAATATTCATTTTGCAAAGTTTGTTTGCAGAAATCGACAAAATATATATTCAAAACTTGTTAAATTTAGTTTTCAAACTTACAATTCCACTTGATACTAAAATATGTATATCTTTGAGTGAATGAGGAATATTTTTAGTAAAAATAACAATTTGAATGTGGTATTTGTGGGGCAAATATTTTAAAATTTTCTATATAACGAATGACCTACATGAATATGCTCAGTATTATATGTTTTGTGCATTTTAAATAAGAAATGAAATGATTAAAGCATATATTATTACTTACGCGACATGTAAAACATGTAAAAATGTAAAAATAAAACAACAACAAACACATCTTAAATCCTACCTTTAAGGATTTAGGATTTACCTCGAATTCACTTCATCATGCACATCAAATATTAAAATTTTAAGCACAGAGTGGCAGTCGTAGACGTTAAGTCCTACAGAATAAATCCGCAACCAGATGACAACGAAAAGTTAGAGCAAAAACAATATGTTGGATGTTGTGTTTTGCTGAAGGTCAACAACGAATGGAAAGCAGGATATGCTCGTATATAAAATGAAATTTTTATAAAAGTAGCAACATGCCATTTGCATAAAAACACAAAAAATTGAAACAGGATATTCTAGGTTGTGTTTGAAAAAGGATTCATACGACATGCGCACCGTCAAAAAAATATGCAGATGCAAAATAAACTAAGAAAAACCAACAATTCAAGCGCAACAAATATTAAATGTCCTTTTATGACTTTGCAATATTTTGGTTGATTTTTTGGAACACAGTTTTCGGTGGTGCAGCATTTTAAATCGTCATGTGTCATGTACCAGTAGTAGTATCCAACCAGAACTATGTTAACCTGTTAGAGCTCATAAAGCTATCAAAACTAATTGTTTTATTTCGGTCACTTATGGTGCATAACGCCGCATGTCCTTGTTATTGTTATTATTATATATCTTTTTTTGCTTAAGCTTTGTGTGTTTTTATGTTATCGACCATGCAAAAAAATATTAGCCAATAAATCAAGCACAATTAAATAAAAATGAAATTTAAATAAAGTGAAATAAATTCAATTTATTGTTATGGTAGCAAAACATAACTTAATTGTGTCATTAAATTGCAAAGAATTTATTATTTAATATTCCATTTATTCAATACTATGTGGTACTTATCCGAGTAATTGTTTAAAATTGTTGTTAAACTTGTTAATTATCAATCATTAAATTAGATTCACAACAAACATAGCCAAATTTTTTTTTAACTATAAACATATATATAAACCGTGTGCGAGTTCAAGTAAATTGAGGTAAAATAAATTGAGATTTCCTAGGGATATTCTGCACTGCCTTTATGTAAATATTTATTTCTTTCTAGATTTTAAATTTATTTATTTAACATGTTATTAAATTTTCACAATGGTAACACCTAATTTACCTAATTTTAATCTAATTTACCCTACTCGAAATTCTGGAAAATAGCAACATTTGCTGCTATACCGACATAATTTACTATTTCCCTTAATTTACCATCAATTTACTCGAACTTACACACGGCCATAAAACATATAAAAGTAAAGTGTACCAATTAACATTAGTTTCCAGTCGTACGCTTGAAAACCGTAGTTTTGCATTAATTTTAAGAGTGTAGTGGATTGCAATTACTTTGTGATAAATGGCGATAAAAAATATCAGTTACATGAATACATAAAAAATTACAGTAAAAGTGAGAAACTTAGTTTTATAACCGGGCCTGTGATAACAAAACTGCGCCTATATATGCTAGATCAAGGTTGTCCAAAGCACTGCCCACGAACTGTATGCGTCCCGCGGATATTATTGTTCGGCCCACGGATAATATATATGCGACCCACGGATAATATATTGCGGCCCGCTGATAATGAATGTGCGGCACGCATTAATGGAAACTGTTCTCAATTTAAAACATAGAGTATCATTCATTAATAACTAGAATAAAACTGTAAATTCAAAAATTCAAAAAATAATTAGTATAAAATCTGTTTAAAAATAACTAATTCATGGCATAAAAAAATTGGAGTATATAATTTAATGGTTAAAATATTTTTTAAATGACTATTTCTATAGAAAAACTATAAATTTCAATATAAAAGGACTCCTTCGAACTAGAGTTTAGCAGAAAAGACTTAAGGAATGTGAAAGATATTCTTTACTAATGTTATTAGAGAAAATCAATATATGTATGAAACATATAATATTTTTGCTTGAAGTCACGAAACCTATGCTGCAAGGTCTGTCATACGGAACTCAGATTTTTTAAAAGCGGAATTTTTGCCTTTTTATACTTTTATCGTTTTATTTTTAAATTAATTTTTAGTCGTTCTGTCTTTATGAGATTTTTCGATATAAGGCTGCCATATTAAAGCATATCAAATTATTTGACTGAGTTATTTCGAAGAATTGCTAAATCCTCTGTCAATAATGTAGTATTAGTTTTCCTTTAATTTTTTATCTTTTATTTTATAGCAGTCATACCAAGTTTTAATCAAGCAGAGCTTCGGCT